AACCTCTTCTATAGAAGAGGTTAGAACTGGCAGGAACCCATCCCTGGTATATCCTTAAAAATATTCATCAGTTTAGCTCACGTAAGTTGGGATCTCTTTCTCCCAGTGTGGCAACCTAAGCATCAATAAGTTTTCATCCTGCCAGGCCTGGGGGTAAAGATTTGATCCGCCCCCACCCGAATGTTGGATGAATGTTGTTTACTTTTTAATTATGTGTTATGTTATATGTTACTGTCTGTATCCCCCTCCCTATAAGTTGTTAGCTGCCCTGAGTCCCCTCAGGGAAAAGGGCGGCCTATAAATAAACCTATTCAATTCAATTAAACAGAGATGAGCACTGCCCTCTAGAGTCGGGAATGACTAGCACATATGTTTGAGGAAAACCTTTACCTTTACTCATATATAAATAAAGCATCTTGTCCAATGTACTTGTCAGCATTTTATTTAATACTGGAATGCATTGCATTTGACAGAACGTGGTATTAGTGTTAATACCATAGAAAACCTATACAATTGTACTTCTTATAAAACTAAAAAAGAGTGCTGTAAAATAGCCTCTTTCTACAATTACACGTCCCACTATCTCGGGAAATATACATTTTCTACTATTCTCATGGTAGAGGCGTTACGTTCCCTTCTTTAGTAACTTTCTGTCCTAATATGTTTATTATTTGACAATGCATTTTATTGACAAAGCCAGTATTTGAGAGTGGATTGAAAAATCACTTTAAAATACTTGAGTTAGATGGACTGGCCATGTTAAATTACCCAGGTGCAATCAACAGCTTCATGCACATTATTACAATTCATTTTTATTTCTTTTTCTTAAAATATATAAAAGACAAACACACATTTTAAATATTCAATGCACAGCTGAACAATTGATCAACAGCTTCATACAGTAAAAGCATGACTGATGCAACATTTATTCCATTGGTCATTCTTTGCAGCGGAAAAGCAGCTTGACATTCATACTATATTCATCAGATTTTGTTGAGTTTTACTGGCAAAATTTTGTTAATTTCTCTGCTAGCATTTTGTTCCACACTATTTAAATTTTATTATTGCTTTTGTTAAAATAGAACCGCTATCACTATAGCTTTAATCTTTAAGAGTTCTAATTCTTTTCTACAATTAAACACAGAAGACTCTCAAAGCATTTGGTAATAGTCATGAAGCAGTTACCGTATTTTTCAATGTATAAGACGGACCATTTTGGGGAAGTTTGCAGAGTGCACAACTTTTTTTAAAAAAAAATGCCTCTTCAAAACCTTGGTGCGTCTTATACTCTGAAAAATATGGTGTTAAAGTGTTAATAACCATTTATGAGAAATCACAATGTAGAAAATGTCCTGAACAAGTAAAAACCATTTGTAGAAACCTACTAAGACAAGAAAGTGATAAAGACCCATTAACTCAGATAACCTGATTTTTATCACATAGTTTTTTTTTTAAATAATGTTTAAGTTTAGGACATTTTTTCATTTCAAATCATGCAGTCCAAATATTATAAATATTGAAAAAAATAAACAAATGTGAATCATATTAATTTACATTTGAAAATGTTTGCTTTTTTCCAGAAAATTCACATTTCTGAAAAAAAAAGCTGAATAGTCACTATGGTGGAATTATATTTTTTTAAATCTTTAAAATACATTTTAAGGCACCGTGCATTTTAAAAAAAAATTTAAAATCTTAATTTTATACCTTATTGTGTCAGTATCAACATCAAGACATATTCATTTCCACATCCCTTTCTTTAACTATGCATAGGGATTTCAGATTATTTCTAACATCAGTTCAGCTCATAAAATCCAACTAAGTTACAGTTCATCATGTCCCTGTGTCTCCTGGTCTTTCAGTTTAAATTCTTCAGAAGTAATCTTGCCATCTCCATTTCGGTCCTGATTGTTGAACATATTTTTCACAATTGTTTCCGAATTGTAACCAGGGGCTAGCTTTCCTTTGCCAGAATTGACTTGGTCGTGGATATATTTATTGAACTAGAATTTAAATAAATAAGAATGGAAAATAAAATGAGTTTCAGCACTGTAATTTAAAGCTGCATATATCACAATGCATTTCCATACTTCTCTGCATTTAGTACTAAGACATAGTAATAATGCTGGTTTACATCAGGAGTTCACCATGTTGATCTAAAATTAAAATAAGTTAGTCATTATTGAGCCTGCATCCAATCCTCTGTTTGATGGGCATGTGCGTCATTAAAGTGGTCAAAGTTGCAAAAGCTTTTGTTCGATGTCTTGAGACTTTTTATAGTCCAGTGCCACACTATACAGAATTGAGTTTACTCAAGTCCTCTTCATGAATTATTTATTAATCATACTCATTGTGACTGATTTCTCATCTTTGCAAAGAAGCTTAACCTTTCCAATTGTACTGAATGTTGACAATGACTGTCATTTAACTGCAAAAGTTACGTGCAACTTTCTAACTGGCATATTTGCTTACTTCCAGAAGCAGTTTTGTTGGCATTACATTAGCATATTAAAACTTTTAAGCTGACATGAGAAAATTTCCCTCAATCCTAGTCAAGCTCATGAGGCTCCACTTCAACCCTTTTTCAAGCCCGTGGCAAGATATGTTACTTCTTTTTCCCACTTTTGATGTTAACCAGCAGCATTCTAAGAGCCGCTTATAAAAATAGATATAAGATAAGGAATAGAGTTCTATCGAAGTATACACACAAAATTATCCTTTCTGGGTTTTTCCTTGACTTTGGTGAATGAATATAATTACCATATTTTTCAGACTATAAGACGCTCCGAGCCATAAGATGCACCTAGCTTTTGGGGAGGAAAAAAAAAAAATCTTCCTCCCAGCAATTTGCCTCCTTTCAGCAAACAACTTTCAGCTTCAGCACAGACTGATTTAGCACAAGCAGCTGATTGGCAGTTGGATTGCTGTGTCTGCGAGCCCCATTTTCAGCCTCAGCATGCCCCATTTTTACCTTACGCACGTCCCATTTTTGGCCTCTGTGAATCCCATTTTTGGCCTCTGCGTGCCCCATTTTCAGCACATTTCAGGTCGCAATAGGTGGCTGTGTCGGCAGCAATCCCCACCGCCTGGAACGGACGAAAATGGGACACATGGAGGCCACAGATGCAGCGATGGGCGACGGCAGTGATGGGTGGCAACAACAGTGATCCCTGCAGCCTGGAACAGCTATTTGGCAGGATTCCGGGAGGCCGATCCAACCGCCAATCAACTGCTTGTGCTAAATCAGACTGCGCTGAAGCTGACCAAAGCTGTTTGCTGTTGCTGCAAGGAGGCAAATTGTTGGGAGGCAAATGCCGAAGGGTGGGGGCTGGCAGGTGGTTGGAGCTTCAGCAACATTATAAGATGACAGACATTTCCACCCACTTTTTTTTGGGGGGGGGGAGTGTGTCTTATAGACCAAAAAATACGGTACTCACAATATGGAAGAATGGCAATAACTACTGGTCAGATTTCTCATATCATTGCAAAATTGACACTGAAGCAAATCACTACCCTGTTTATCTTTTCTTTTATAGTATAGATAGTATGCCAGGCTAGTTCAAATGATTAATTTAAAAAGTCATGGAAATATTAATTTTCTTTCTAATTGTATGAATCAGTTTTTTCACAAATTGCAACTTTGGAGGAAAAACAGCAGCCAAAACAATAAATTGGAATGGGAAGTGAAAATAACTGCTTCACAAATGAAACCCAGATTTCAGAACTAATACAAAAGTAAGCAAACTCATCTCACCTCTTAACTAATAAGGTTTTTTTACATTCCAAACAAAATGTTTTAATATTATATAAAAATGTATGATTCTGCCATTTTATGCAATTTATAAATTAAAAATTAATTATTAAATTTAATTAAAAAAATGCCTAGCCATAACACAAGATGAAAAGGAAGTCATGCAAATTCATTTATCATATCTAGGGACAAATAATACATTGCATTATAATTATATATTATACTGTGCTAATACTATAAAATAAAATGTATATTGTAATTTGAGAAGTAAATTAAAGAATCTGTATAGAACATGGTGTGCCTAACAATTTCCTTATAAATCAAATTTTGTGTGTCCCCCGCCCCCAAAATAGCTTCTTACTTCTTCTAGAATAACTTCTCCATTGTTATCCTTGTCCATTTCTTCAAAGAGGTTTGGTGACACTTCATCATGCCACACAAACATATAGCCTTCTGGTAAGCCAGATACTAAATCAAGCAGCTCAATGTCAAACAGTAATACAGCACTTCCAGGAACTTCTCCTTCTGCAACATTAAATGACAAAAATCAAATCTTAATATTGTTTTTGGGAATGTTTTGCTTTATTCTATATTTTCAGTGGAAGCAGGCAATTTTCCAGCTAAGCCATGTTACATTTTTAAAAAATTCCTGCCAAGGGCATGACGAGAAATTCAATGATGTCACTGGGAAGCAGATCTGAAAATGATCCATTTTGAGGATTTCATAGATAATGAACATGAAAAATAATTTCCCCAAAGGCTTCATGAAAGTGAAATGATCAGAGATAATGATATGGTGATGCTACCCCTAATGTAAAGGGCTGGGAGTGGGGGACAAAAATTCACCCCTAGCAGAATAAGCAAGTTGTACTATAGATATTATTTCAGCAAAGAATGACAGGATGCAAAAATTACATCTATTGGGTCAATAATGCACATTATTATTTTCTTTCTAGAAGACACTAAGTTATATGATTATTTTTAGGTTTAAGTTTTCATGCAAAGTCATTTGTTCAGACATTGCTTATCTCATTGCTTTATGACAGGAGACTATATAGACTATATCTTCTAAGAGATTCATCACATAAAATGCATAAGGCAATTCTACACATGGACAATATATTTCTATGCTGTTTTAAGTTAAATTGAAGCTCAAGTCTTATTTAATGAGTGAACTTCAAAATTCCAAATAACAGTTCCAAATAATTGTTATATCATCCATTCATTTCAATTTATTCCACTGAAAGCAGAAGATAGGAACAAGGAAATGAATCATATTGAAACTACCTATGGATCTTTAAGTATAATTTAACAAAGTACATACAGAAGCGACTGTGCACCACTGTAGGTGAATTCTGAAGAAATTTGGGTCAACTCATATTAATTTCTTCCCTTCAGTACACTTGAGTATCTTTGAAACTTATATACTTACTAACTCCGGCTTCTCCATAACCAAAGTGAGGAGGAATAACAACTGTTCTTTTTTCTCCCACACACATCTCTCGGAGACCTATATCCATTCCCAGTACAACTTGTCCAGAACCTAGAACTATATTGTATGTTTTTCCAAGGCTAACCCTGAAAAAGAAAAACGTAATTCACAAAAAATTCTAAGCAACTCCTCCAGTTTTCTAACATTTTTTTTCTATTCCTCCTATTTACATGGGCCATGGCTTATTCACAACCGAACTCACACAAGCGGCACCCCAAAGGCTTCTCTATTGCATGAGTGGAGCTGCACGTGTATATGTGCCAGCCCACCCTTGTGCATCCCGGTTCCCCTCTTCCCTGCCAGCTGGGTTGCCAAGCTACTTGTTCCCGATGCTGCAAAAGCAGTGCAGTTAGAGCAGAGGCTGAGTGGGACAAGTGTGCCCTGCTCAGCTTCGCTGACTCACTGAGGTTGTCTGCCTAGGACTCCCAATCTGCTTTTGTAGCGTAGGGCAGTCTCAATGTGTTGGAAGACCGTGTACCCAATGGCTTTTCTTCTCCATGCCAAAAGCTTTTGCAAACGGACAAAAGGTTTTGGGGGAGCAATCTCGTGCTTCTTCAGGCCTTCCATCCCTTTGTAAAAGCTTTTGACATGGAGAAGTCTGAAGGAGTCAAGACCATGCCGCAAAATCTTATCTCTCTTGCATGAGTGGCGTTAAACATGCATACGCTCCAGGCCACCACTCACATGGCCTGATTCCTCTCTCCCCCTCATCAGCCCGGCTGCAAAGATTGGGGACCTCTCCCTTATAACATTAAGCAACAGAGTATGAACAGTAGAGACTTCAAGTATCTGGGTTCAATAGTCTCCCAGGGCTTGAAATGGACATCTAATTTTAGACATGGACATCTAACTTTAGAACTGTTATTAAAAAGGCACCATTTCCTGTGCCAACTCAGAAAGCTCAGACTACCCAAGGAGCCGCTGATTCAGTTCTATAGAGGAATTACTGAGTCTGTCATTTGTATTTCTATAACTGTCTGATTTGAGACAGAAATAAAACAGGGCAGTTACAGATAATTAGGCCTTGAGAAAAAAACTATTGAACCAGCCTACCTTCCATGGAGGAACTGTACATTGCACAGGTCAGAAGAAGTACTGAGAAAATATCTACAAAGCCCTCACATTCTGGACATAAATTGTTTCAACTCCTCCCCTTATGATGCTGCTATAGGCCATTGCATGCCCAAACAACTAGACACAAATATAGTTTTTCTCCTACGCCACCACTCTGCTAACACATAATTCCCATAGCACTGTCTTATACCTAAGAATATCTAAACATGCAGTATGGCTATATTGCTATTATCCGTCTCATCTTTCTTATTATTTTCACCTATTGGTATCTTATGATTTATCACTTTATTGTTTGAATGTATACTGAGAGCTTATGCACCCGAGACAAGTTCCTTGTGCATCCAATCACTCTTCATCAATAAAGAATGTTCTGTTCTATTCCATACATACATACATATGTGTGTGTGTGAATAGGAAAAGTAGCTTATATGAAACAAAAATATGAAGGCACCACGATACCACTGGCATCATTAGTTGTTAAGGCACCAGGCTAGAAAGTTGGAGACCATAAGTTCTAGTCCTGCCTTTGTCATGAAAACCAACAGGAGAACCTTGGACCAGTCACTCTTTTAGTCCAATTCAACCATGATTGTTGTTGTGAGGAAAATAAGAGGAGGGAGGTTGTTGGATATGTTTATCATAGAGTTATTTCTAAAACCAATAAAGGCAGAACATTTATTTCTTTGTTTAATAAATGAGGGCATGGAGACAGAAAAATAACTTCCATTGTTTATTTTCATAATTTATAGACTTTCTGTCTGCATGTAAGATATCACATACTTTCAGTTACATTAAAGAATTCAAACAGCTAACAAAAAAAAAGGAAACACATCTTGAGTCACATCTATTTTTTTTAATTGTAATGCTTGCAAAATTACTTCTGGCCAGATGATATACTTACGTTGAATCTAATAAAGTGCCATCTAGGAGAGAAGCATTGTAATGATACTTCAAGTAATCACCTTTCTTGCTTAGCACTGAACAATTAGTAGGTTTGTAATAGGTTGTAACAGCAACTGAATCTGAAGGATTGTGAAAATCTATCACATGAACTTCAAATACCAAAACAGCAGATCCTGGAATGTTTCCTACAATAATAAGCAATCACATAGTAATACTATAGGCTGTTCACCTTTCTTCTCTTACTGAATTTATACCTTGCAAACAACAAAATCATCTACTGAAAATTAATGCTGTGAAAATAAAGATGTAGTCAAAAGCATCTACAAAGATTATCCTCAATTATGCTAATGTTTATGTCATTTTGTCCTTTCCAACAGCATAAAATCTATATACTTTCAGAACTATGGTATTTGGAGAAATTACCACTGTTGCCCATTTTGGAAGCCACTTTGAATACTAATACTTTTAATACCAATGCCTGAATTTAGCATTAAGATCCCAACATGTCTTTCCTCTTGTGTTCTTCCCAATTTAGAAAAATGACATCACATCTTTTGCATGTCTAATATAGGATCTTTTATATTAATATGATTTTATACATTCATTCCAAATATGTAAAAAAGCGCCTTTTGTGTCCAGTTAATGTTAAGTGACAAGCTTAATAACAGGATTTTTCCAGATAACTTGAAGGTATCCACTATCTCTAAAGGTAGAACTACTGTAAGTATCTACAAAACCTAAGAAAAAAAGATTTGCCTAGGGAGCTCAATAACTGTGGTATCTGTCACTCTTATGAAAACAAATTGTGTTACTAATTCTTTCAATCACATATCTATTTCTGAGAAGTTATAGAAGAAAATGTTCTCAAGCAAGTATCATCAAATAAGCCATGATTCGCTTATATGATTCTAATTCTACCATTGGTGTTAGCAGAATTCACTATAAATTTGGTACAATTCTCACATGGGGTGCAGGAATCAGGTGCACTGACTTTATCCCCCTTGACCGTGGAAAATGCTTTCACTTTAAAGTATCAGATTGTCATATCTGGTATTATTCACATGCTTAAATATATATACTATATATACTCAATATATTAAAATGGTAATTGAGCTTCAGGACATTAGTATTTAATAAAGTAGCTGAAATAAAACTTATACTCACCTCTTCCCTCTTCTCCATACCCAACATGAGGTGGTATTATTATTCTCCTTTTCTCTCCAACACATGCTCCAAGCAAACCTTCATCTATCCCAGCAATCACATAACCTTTGCCAATGTAGGTGTCATAGGTTTGATTTCGTGAGTAACTATAGAAGACACTTTGGTTTACTGCAGTTACCATCAATTGTACCACATTTACAATTTATTGAGTATGACGGCAAATATAGACAAAATGTAGATGTAATCTATATACAATTTAATATATGTATATTACTGGAGAGAGAGAGAAAGATTCATTTCATTTACACAATACCATCATCTCATCTGTTAACCTAGAAAACCTTATTGCTTTTAAAACAGTTTTACTAGAATAACCTCAGCCAGGAGCCTATTGAACAGTGATGGGTTATGGCCACAATCAGGGACGTGCAGTCACTAGAGGCAAGAGAGGCGGAGCCTCCCCAGTCTCCTGAGAGAAAGGAAAGAGTTTTAAAT